GGTGGTTGAACGGGAGACGCACCGATGGATTGTCAAGATTGAGGGAGTGTTGGGTGAGAGTCTGGACGCCATGTTGCAGTAGAGACAAAATGAGAATGAGATGGGACGGACCAAAGGAGGAATTGAAAGGAGGGACTGGAGTTGTTGACACAAAAGCTTGGAATAGACAGGCTATGACGTAGAGGCGCTACAAGTAACTAACTAGAAGTTTCATTTTTCTATGTAAAAAGAGAAGATATTTTGACATTATCAAGAGGCTTTGAGCTAAGGCGGGCGCTGACATGTGGGAAAGACAGGGATAGACCGGGACAGAGGAGAATCTGTCAGCTAGTGAGTCACTAGAAGACTCCCAGTGTCTCGCTCGGCGTGTTCGGGGTCGCGGCGAGTTTATCGGACAGCCGGGGACTCATGAGATGCGACTCAACGGGCACGCGGAGAGGCTCGTAGGGAGAAGGAGGCTCTTACACGGTGAGCGGACTCGGAAAGATCCGGTGAATTATCGTGGCGGGCGGGCTCACCTAGAGAACCCAGGTCACTACCTACGTCACGAGGATGACCAGGTACAGGCGAGCTAGCAGGGGACGCCAGCCTTGAAGAGGTACCCTGCATGTGGCGGGCGGTTCAGCTGTACCTGGCCTGGGCGAGGTGAAGCTAGAGCTGCATTCGGAGTAGAGAGAAAAAAGGTGACGAAGGGTTGATATAATATCCGCTTAGCTACGGCCTGGAGATAAAAGAGTCACAAACAAAAGCAGTCTCAACAAACCAATTGCGAATTTCATTGAGCAATTGAGGCATTATCGACATCTTGTTCATTGTTTCCGAAACCGGATCCTAATCTTTCGCTAAAGACTATCCACTGGCTGGGCTAAATCCACTTACACGGGCACGAGCGCAGCCGCATTCATCGACCACTTATCTACGGAAGGCGACACTTGATCCTTGAGATTTTTTTTTTCTCGGTGGTTTTTTATTTTCTGCTTTTTGTTTCTTCTACGCCTCTAAGGGTTTTGCTTGAGAATCGTTACAAGATGGTTGGTTTCCCGCCGAGTCGTGCTTTGGTGAGGGTGGGAGGATCTGGGAATAGAGTCATCTCCAAGAGATTGGCAGGCACGATAACACAAGATGGTGAGTTCAGCTTGATATTGATATACTTCCAGGATATATCTCTTGATTCTTTGGAGAACAATCTTTGACCGTCTCGGTAATCCCTAATTCGAAACATCACTAACTTGTCTCACTTCAGCCGACTCCAAGGAGCGCATCGTCGTGCTCGGATCCGGATGGGCCGGCTACGCCCTCGCCCGGACAATCAACCCCTCAAAATCCTCACGAATCCTCATCTCGCCTCGTTCCCACTTTGTCTTTACCCCCCTCATCGCCTCCACGGCCGTCGGCACGCTCGAGTTTAGAGCTGCTGTTGAGCCTTGCCGCAAGTTGGGACTGACAGAGTTTCACCAAGCTTGGGCGTCAGACATTGACTTTGCGGCAAAGACCATCACTGTCGAGGCTAATCAGCGTGATGGTGTCACAGCCCGCGCGGGAAAGGATCTCCTCAAGGGTCTTGAGTTCCAGGTGCCGTATGACAAGCTTGTTGTGGCTGTTGGGTGTTACAGTCAGACATTTGGCGTTGAAGGTGTCAAAGAGCATGCTTGTTTCCTGAGAGATGCTACAGATGCCAGAACTGTGCGTCTCAAGGTTCTGCAAAAGTTTGAGCAGGCGGCTCTACCAAGTGCCAGCGATGTTCAGAGGAAGCGTCTGCTACACTTTGCTGTCGTGGGTGGAGGACCTACTGGCATTGAGTTTGCGGCAGAGTTGCACGACCTAATCCATGAGGATTTGGCAAAGATGTATCCAGAGTTGATGGAGCATGTGGCCATCACCATCTACGACATTGCGCCCAAGGTTCTGCCCATGTTTGATCGCAACTTGGCGGCATATGCGACAAACATGTTTAGCCGAAGGGGTATCCGTGTCAAGACGGAGCATCACCTTCAGCGCATCCGAGAGGATGGCGATGTGCTACTCATGAAGATTAAGGAAGAGCCAGAGGAGGTGGCAGCAGGTGTTGTCGTCTGGAGTACTGGTCTCATGCAGAACCCCTTAGTAGGGAGACTGGTTGGCCAGGAGGTCAAGGGCGCAGGGACGATCGCCAAGGACAGCAAGACGGGAGGAATCAAGGTGGACGAGCATCTCCGCGTGCAAGTCGAATCCCAAGACAACAACGGAAACACCATCACAAAGTCCCTCCCAGATGTCTTTGCCATCGGCGACTGCGCTGTCGTCCAAGGCCGATCGTTCCCTGCAACAGCCCAAGTAGCCAGCCAACAGGCAACATACCTCGGCAAGCGCTTTAACGCAGGTACTTCATCTCAAGGAGCTCCGACAGCTCCGTTTCACTTCCGCAATTGGGGAACCATGGCGTACCTCGGTGGGTGGAGGGCGATTCACCAAAAGGGTGCTGATGAGCTCAAGGGTAGAGCTGCGTGGATCCTCTGGCGGACTGCGTACCTGACCAAGAGCATGAGTTTGAAGAACAAGATTATGATTCCTTTTTACTGGTTGATTACTTGGATCTTTGGACGGGATATCTCGAGGTTTTAGGTGATGAGTTGTAAGAGGGATAAAACTGTATGATAGGAACTTGAGATTGTATTGGCATAGCATCAACAGGGATAGACTGGAACAAAGGATAAAAAAAAAGTGTCTTTTTTTGAAAGATATAGACTTACCAAGTATAGAATTGTATGATTATTAACTATGTTGTTGTTGAGTCTATGGCCTCCACTACTAATGTCGCGATCATGAGCCCCATGTCATAATTACTCACCCACTGACATTTTAGTCGCTCAACTTGGCTCAACTCACTCACTCCACCTTGACTAAACTCAAGACGTGGTCTTTCAACTACCAAGATCTTGAGCAAAGATTAAACTCTGTACCTTTTAAAGGTGTTTATCTAAGGAGTAACATTCACTTGAATCTAATCTTATCAATCTTCAAGATCTATGCTAACCCCGCTATAGTAACAATTGACTCACCCACTCAACAATGGCCAAACCATCCATCAACTACGGCCTCTACCTCGTCACCGACTCGACCCCCGCCATCCTCGGCGACGGAAACCTCGAGAAGATCGTAGAGGCAGCGCTAAAGGGCGGCGTCACCGTCCTGCAGTACCGCGACAAGCACAGCGAGCGTGCCGTAGCTGTCGAGACGGCAAAGAAGCTGCACGCCGTGTCACAGCGGTACAGCGTTCCCTTGCTCATCAATGACCGTGTTGATGTTGCTGTAGAAGTTGGGTGTGAGGGTGTTCATATTGGACAGGATGATATGGGTATGTTGAGATGATAACCTGTGTGGGATGAGAAAAGCTGACTTTGAGACTCTAGCCTTTGAGGAGGCTAGGAACCTCTTGAGACCTGACAAGATTATCGGTGTCACTGCAAGCTCTGTAGAAGAAGCTCTCAAGGCTTGTGAAGCTGGCGCCGACTATCTTGGTCTTGGAACTGTATATTCAACTCAGACGTAAGAACCAATACATCACTCACCAACCATCAACTGACCCCTATTCTAGCAAGAAGGACACAAAGTCCATCATCGGCCCCTCTGGCGTCCGAGAGATCCTCTCCGCCCTCGCGGCTGCCGGTCACGGCGCTGTGCCTACTGTTTGTATCGGCGGTGTCAACGGCTCCAACGCTGGCTCCGTCCTCACAGCTGCCCGCTCCCCGACCAAGGCCCTTGACGGTGTCGCCGTCGTGAGCGCCATCATCGCCGCTACCGACCCAGCCGCTGCCTCTCGTGATCTCCTCAGCCAGGTTATAACCGCTAAAATCCCTGAAGTCGTCGGTGCTGTAGCTAATACCACTCCCCTGACGCACAACATGACCAACCTGGTATATCCCATCCCACCTTAACATAGGTGTGTTCAAAGCTAACAAGTTCTAGGTCGTCCAGAACTTTGCCGCCAACGTTGCCCTCTGCGTCGGTGCTTCCCCCATCATGGCAAACTACGCAGAAGAAGCGGCCGACTTGGCCAAGCTGGGCGGCGCTCTTGTTGTCAACATGGGTACCGTGACCCCTGAGGGACTCAAGAACTATATCCAGGCCATCAAGGCCTACAACGATGCCGGGCGTCCTATTGTTCTGGACCCAGTTGGGTAAGCTGTCTTCTCTTGTTCCAGATCAAACTTAGTTTGCTCACACTCCCAGTGCCGGCGCAACTTCTGTCCGCCGCAACGCCGTCAAATCCCTCCTCGGCGCAGGCCACTTCACCGTCATCAAGGGCAACGAGGGCGAGATTCAAACCGTGGCAGGAGCTACAATCACCCAGCGAGGTGTAGACTCTACCTCATCCTTGACCCTCGCCCAGAAAGCCTCGCTCGTGCGATCCATCGCGAAAAAGCGCCGCAACGTGGTTCTCCTGACAGGTGCCGTCGACCTTGTCAGCGATGGATCCCGCACGCTCGCTATTAGCAACGGACACCCCTATCTTGGTGAGGTTACAGGTACTGGCTGCACTCTTGGCACAACTGTGAGCGCCATGGTTGCCGCGTACGGAGCTGATCCGCTACTGGCTGCCGTAGCCGGTACCGTCATGTTCGAGCTTGCAGCCGAGTTCGCCGCTGAGAGAAGCGAGGTCCGCGGGCCGGGTACGTTTGTTCCCGCCTTCTTGGACGAGTTGTATGCTATTCGAAAGGCCACCGGCAACGGTGATCTTAGATGGTTGACCATGGTCAAGGTCAAGGCCGTCGAGGCGGCAGACATCGAGGCGTAGTTCAACTAAGAGATCGAAAAGTATTAAGCTTGACATATATAAACAATAAAATACAATTGATTATCTCCAAGAGAACCATCCATTCAACATGTACCGAATAACCCCCTGAACCCCTGAATAGTCCACTCCCTTCCTCATCAACGCCCATCCAAACAGTCTCATAACTAGATATTCCAACGCCAAAGAGCCAGCTTAGCTCATCCATTCTTTATACAATCACATCATCTCATTGCAAAGACTCATCCAACACGCCCGGATCCCCCACAATATTCCAAACATTAAACCCCTGCGTAGATCCCTGCCAGAAATCACTGCTGAAATCACCCATCAAAATGTCTTGGCTAAACTCGATGACCTGAGGGTTTGCAGTCCCGGCTACAAGCCGCTTCAGCTCCACCTTGACCAGGTCCCTCAGCGTCTTGAGTTGCCGCAGTAGTCTCTCGAACGGATCCTCGGGGGGCTGCGGCGCTGGAACACCCAAGGGAGTCGCCGTGCCTAGCATATTGCCCTGCTTGCGCCGCGCGACGATGACCACCAGATCACGAACCTGCTGGTCCATCACCTCGGTCATGTCGAGCTCGTTGTGAATGCTGGCGAGGTTCCATCCAGGCAGTTGCAGGGTCATGAGCTTGATACCCGTGATGATAGTATAGACAAAATCAGACGCGCTCATGCACAGGAACCGCGGTCTTTCGAGCTCACGATGTGAGAAGCGGAGGTCGAAAAAGGACTTGAGCGATCTGAGGCAGCCCCAGAGGAGTTGGAGGCGGTCGGTCAAGGGCATATATGAGGCTGTGGAGTGTTGATCCGAGAGGGCAATCTCGTAGAGGAGAACCTCGGCCACATGAATATGTGACTTGAGATTATCTAGCACACATGTAAGTGTCTGGTGCGAACATTGAAGACGGGCTACTCACCATTGCCGGAAAAGCGTGGCCCAAGAGAATTCCTGTACTGATCAAGCTGGTCCTGGAATGAGCGCACCACCATTGTTAACGGTAGCTTCATAGCATGTTGGCCAATATTTTCGACAGTCATGGTGAGAGATATAGACTGAGCCAGTTGTTGAATTCTCACCAGCTTCACCAAATACTCATCAGACGGATACTGCATATTTGCCTCGAGCGCCTTGCAGCACGTCTCTAAGGAACTAGTGTTCATGAGAACATCCGGTCTCTTGTTTGCCGTAAACACCCTGCCACGGGTAAGCAATTATCCTCAAAACAGCGGGGATACTTACAAAGTGTTGAGATAATATGTCCCGGCATATGCTCTCATATGATCGAGGTTCTGCTCCATAGCTTCCCCTTGCAAGCTAGCATCCTCCTTGAAAGTCAAGTTGACGCACATGGACCGAGCGAGGAAGAGCAGATTCGTAACCTGCGAGCCCTTGAGTGCATAGTGAAACCTGCGCCAAGATCAGTGCTGCTCAACTCGCAACGTATGAGGAAACCCACCATGCTACCAACATCTGCAGCCCATGCAGCAGATCCAGGCTCTTCAGCCCGTCCACAACCGCCGCCCGGCCAATCTCGGCCAACAGCTCCTCACCCAGTTTGACCTGTCTTGCCCCATCGAGGAAGCACCCCACCATCATGATGGCCTTCCACATAAACGGCCTGTTCTCTCTCACCTCCAACGCCGTGAGATGCTCTGGTACTCTCACAAAGGGGAATAGACACGCGTGGATGTTCCTATAGCCTGCCAGCAGTAGCTCGGCCTCGTGTGGCGTAGGCCACCATGAGTCCCATGGCCGCCGCTTGCCTGGTTCTGACGCTGGTGGATGGGGTGTTTGACTATCAGAACTCTGCTTCAGAGGAAAAATGTGGTTAAAGTCCCAGCTGCTGTCAGTCTTGCTGCAGAGCTCCGACGCTGGCTCCGTCTCAGCCTCGGGGGACGGTGTGGGGGATCTGCTCGAAGAGTCGTGCCGTACATGGGACGACAGCTCCTCCAGACGCTTCTCCAGAGCGGCAATCTTTGACAACTTGGGGCTCTTCCGGGGCCGGGGCGGAGCCGGAGTCTGGGACATACATGTCTTGTCCAGCCGGTGACACCTGGGGGTTGGCAATACGTCTCTCGTCAGCGGCCAGTTCCAACTTACACACGACAAACCTTGACGGGTAGATCAGCCAGGCCAATCATTTAGACTCACCTGTCGCACTTGAGGCTCCCTTCAGGGCCCGGGACGCATCTGGCCTTTGCCTTGGCGCATGTCGTGCAGGCCTTGGGGCCCTTGTTCTTGGATGGGACGATGCCGGGACTCATCTTGTCATGCCTATTATCCTGTCGCTATGACGGCAGAAAAGTGGTTTGGAAAGGAAACGGAGCAGGAGAGTCGGAGGCATTCTCGACCTCGACAAGGGCTCATGTGCTTGACTGCTCCAACGGCCGCCTCGGACGCCGCTTGACTTGCTGAAGCCGTCCGAAATGCAAGGATCCTGGTCCTTGGGAACGGACACGGAGACCCAAAATTGCGCCGATCCTCCGGCCTGGCCTCCGAGTCGCCCTCCCGTTGGTGGTCGGTGAAACGTTTTTCCGTTCCCAGAAGCCACAACCTCAACGGAGAGACGGAGGAACGGAGTAAACAGACCCTGGCAATCACTAACAGCACGGACTAGACAACACAAACAAGACAGACATCTATAAAAGCAAACACCACAAGAGGCCAGAAGGTCAAGAGGATCAACAAGAGACAAGGCAAGTATGCAGTCACACAAAACAAGAAGGTCAAGAGTACGTGTTGGTTCCCCATATGCGCCACATTATGCGGCATGGGCAAAAGTATTCAATTCTCATATCCATCCAGTCAGAGCTGGTACAGATTGCAAAAGATATCTCTCAAATGGTTGTAGTAGAAAGGAACTTGATTGCTGCTGCGACTCATTCACCAGTCGCAGCATGTGCAGGGACATTTATCCCTTTGCACTTGGACGGCATTTAAGCTGCCGTGGCAGCCTCGGAAGTCTGCCTAGACTCAAGCTCAAGGAGCGCCTCGGTGATGCCATTGGCTGCATTGCCAGTGGCCTTGATCTCCTCGGTCGCCTGCTCGACGTTGAGCTGCTTGTCAGTCCAGAGGGGCTCCTGAACGTTGCCCTCCTCGCCGACACCGATGAAGCCACCCTCAGCCGCCCAATCAGAAGTTCGCTTAATGTTGAGCCGAGTCCAGATCTCGTCAACAGCCTGGACGAGCTGGTCTCGGTACTCCTTGGTGTGTCCAGGGGTGGGAGTGATTCGGAGACGCTCCTGGCCAACAGGGACAGTGGGGTAGTTGATCGACTGCACATAGATTCGGTAGTCGTTGAGAAGCATGTCGGAAGCCGCCTTGGCAGTCTCCGCGTTTCCAACAAGGATGGGGATGATGTGGGAGGGGTTAGGAATTACGGGGATGTCTCGGGCGTTCATTGCCTCCTTGACGGCCCGAGTGTGCAGCTGCTGGAGTCGTCGGTCACCATCATACTCCATCTGATACTCAATCGACGTCTTGGCGCCAGCCATGGTTGCAGGTGGCAGAGAAGTGGTGAAGATGAAGCCAGGGGCTAGAGAGCGAATCATGTCAATGAGCTTGGAGCTGCCGGCAATGTATCCACCAACGCAGCCATACGCCTTGCCCAGAGTGCCAGTAATGATGTCAATGCGGTCCATGATAGTTCCCCGAGGGGCACCCTTGACATGCGCCTCCCAGTCCAGATGCTCAGCGACACCAGCACCGTGAGGACCGTACATGCCGACGGCATGGACTTCATCGAGAAAGGTGATGGCGCCGTACTTTTCAGCAAGGTCACAAATCTCCTCAATCGGACCAATGGAGCCACACATGCTGTACACAGACTCAAAGGCAATGATCTTGGGTACGTGCAGCGGCAGAGACGCAAGCTTTGCCTCGAGGTCTTGAATATCGTTGTGCTTGAACACAATCTTCTTGGTTCCAGAGTGTCGGATACCCTGGATCATGGAGGCATGGTTCAGGCTATCCGACAGAATCACACAATCGGGCATCTTGCTACCCAGTGTTGCCAGAGTTGCGTCGTTGGCCACATAGCATGAGCTGAACACAAGAGCCGCATCCTTAGCGTGCAACTTGGCCAGCGTACCCTCGAGCTCGACAGCGTGCCTATTGTGACCGGAGATGTTTCGGGTTCCACCAGCACCGGCACCATACTCCTCGAGGGTTTCATGCATCTTGTTCAAGACATGAGTGTTTCGACCCATGCCCAGGTAATCGTTTGCGCACCAGACAGTTACTCGATCCTCCTTGTCAGACATGTGTGCGCGGGGGAATTCCTTAGCTAGACGGTTGATGTTGTTGAAGTAGCGGTACGACTTGTCCTTGTGCTTCTTGTCGAGTTCGGCATTGTAGAAGCCTTCATAGTCGAATTTACCAGGGGAGTGGAAGCCGGCGGCGGCGGCAGCAGCGACGGGAGAGGCCGAGGTAGCCTTTTGGTTCGGGTTGGTTCCAGGAGGAATGGGGGCTTCATTCAGTGTCAGCTGAAGATCAATTCAAGTCGGGCAACATGTGATGATGCCAATTTCGTGGCGTCGATTACATACCATTGTCGCGACCCTCGAAGAGCGGGCGGTCGACGGCGCGGGCCTCCTGGTTACGGCTGGTGTGAAGCTTGGCCTTGCCAGTCTTGGAGTGAGCAGAGAAGGCTCGAGCCGAGGCAGCGGCGCGGTGCTTGGCCGTCTGGACAGCCATGGCCTTTCCCATGACGGGGCACCGCTGACCGAGCAGCTGAAGCTTGGACATGGTGCCGCCGCAGGGAGAGGCGGCAGCCGTCGAGGGGAGAGCGGCCTGGGGACGGGTCGAGGTGGACAGGGCGCGCAGGGTGGCAGGCGAGGCCGTCTTCAAGAAGGGGCACATAGCCTTGGACTGGCGAAGGACGGCGTCCATGATTGCGAGAATCCGATTGCACTCGTTGGTTGAAGTCGAGAGGGCGATGGCTTCGGTGAGTAGAGCGAACCGGAGGGGCAACGGTCGAAGTTGAGGGTGTGTGGAGGGGCAAAAATGCCAGCGAAAAAAAGCGACGAGGGGCTACACTCGGTCGCAATGAACAAGCGAGACAAAAGCGAAGCAATTGCTCTCTCTTGACAATGTGGAGAGTGTTGAGTTGGTTGGATGGAAGAGGAGAGAAAAAAGAGAGGGAGAGGAGGGAAAAAAAAGGTTGAGGAAAAGGAAGTGCTGAGAAAGATTCAGAGACAAGTCGGCGGTTCGGAAAGGGCGTCTCTGACCCATAGAATCCGTCCGTTTCGGTTCCGTCTTTCGCTTCCTTCCCTCTCCAAGCAACTCCGCGCTTCTTGCCCCATTCAGGAAAGTCACCGGTGACTTCTCGTCTGCCGGTTGCCGATGCCTCCTTCCCCACCGGCAGGTCGCTTGCCCGCTCACCTTTCAGCTCAGCCGAAGGGGACGCCGAGTGGCCAAGGCGTCGGGTAAGTTGTAGATTGTACTTGCACGTGAAGCACGTTTAACCATCATCATCAAGGTTATCAATCAGGCAATGGCATACCTTCCTTTCAATTCAACAACGGCTATGCATATTTCATGGCTCTTCCATAACCTCGAAATAACATCTGGTCCACATTCACATCCAGCAGGGTACGGTTTCATGCAGACGCAGCATGTGGAATACTGTCCGGTACATCCACATCCATGCCTGGACAGGGCCGAGTCAGACTCATCGACGCCAACGAGACCTGGGTAAAGAAAATACCTCGCTCATGATTGGCCCAGATTCCTTCTTTTCCGAGAGGGGCCAAAACCGTCGTCTCTTTTTCGCACACTCGACCTCTCCCTCTAATTGGTCCCGGCCGTCGCCGTTGTCATCCAAGGGCGAAATCTCAGTTAGCCATGTGTTCCCGACAGAAAGCCCTTCTTTTCTCAACCAGGCAAATCCTTCCGGCACCGGACACATCTTCAACAGTTACATAACATTGGTGCTTCTCGCGCTAAGACCCAAGTTAGAATGCCCTCGGTCTTCCATCTTTTCGTCTCGTACGATTGTTAAAGTGGATATCAACTACTAAGCCATTCACTATTAGCTCCATTTCCTTCAATCGGGACTTGTCTGAGTTCTTGTCCAACACCCAGACTGACTCATATTCGCTGAATCGTTACTTGACTTCCAGTCTATTCAGCTCGGCGAAAATGCCGTCTTCAACTACCTATCCTATGAGACAACAACAACAACAACAACAACAACAACAACAACAACAACAACAACAACAACAACAACAACAACAACAACAACACTTAGGATAGGTAGGCGATCATCTTCAATTGACCTGGACTCAAGCGCCTGGAGACCCATGAAACGTCTAGAATCTGACCCAGGTACTGTTCCAGCCCCATAGGCGATCGCCGCCAAGATCCCACAGTCGTATCTCCTGATTTCTCAAAATCCATACCTCTGTACAGTAAACCTTTCTTTCTCGCAGTGTTGCTTTATGCAAGGGCCCCTTGATCTTCTCGCCCCAAAGCAGTAAAGGTAAAGCAGCCTTCCAAATGGGTATCGTTGGGTTCAAATGACACGCCGTAAACGCCTGTACATCCCTCGTGCTCTTCATCCGCCCTGCGCATGCGCCTCCAATCAATTCTTTTCATTATGCTCCCCGCCACGGGTCGACCTGTCCCCCGCGAGGTGTTCCATTCCTAGACACGGTCCGTCGCTCCAATGGTTCTGGTCTTGGGGATCCACGGTTCTGCTCTTCCTCCAGTGCTTGATTAGCCCACTGAGGCAGACGGGACACCCTGTTTCTCCTATTGTCCATTGCTTCCCGCATTACTTTCATATCGTCCCTGGCCAGTGGTCGAGTCTCGCTCCGCTGTAAGCTGTGCCGGCGGATGTTCTGTAGGTTCTTGAAACAAAGTCAGCCGTCTTGTTTCAAACAACTGAGTTGGTGCGAGCTGGGGTTGCTCCTGTTCTCATACATTTGGGTCCGGTGAGTTGAATCTCCTGTGTGCCTGGGCTGGGATATCCATTTCCTCAAGCCCGTTGATGGTTTTCATCCGGTTCTCCAGCTCATGCTCGTCGGCCAGAGCCACGTAGTCTGCACTTAGATAACCCGCAACGATGGCAATCCCGAACTTATCGTGTGACAGTAGTCCGACAAGGAACTTCCAACGTTGGGTATCAGGCAAGAATCCAAACTTGCCTTCCTTCCGAATCGTGTTCACCCTGTCCGTCAGGGCACTGGCTATCTGCGCTGGGTCCCCTCCCATCCGGGGCACATTGCGCTGTTGCAGCTTTCGGACTGTTTCCTGTAGCTGC